GTACCGGCATCCCATATGGGCACAGGTTGGAGTCCCGGCTGTACCACTTTTCTGATCCAATTCCCTGCTGATGCACCTGGGAAAGCAGTAGAAGATGGCCCAAGTCCTTGGGCCCCTGCACCCACGAGAGAGACCCAGAAGAAGCTTTGGCTCCTGGCTTCAGACTGGCCCAGCTCCGGCCATTATGGCAATTTGGGGAGTGAACCAGTGGGTAGAAGACCTCTCTCTCTCTCGCTCTGTCTCTACTTCTGTTTGTAACTCTGTCAAATAAATAAAATAAATCTTAAAAAAAAAAAAAAAAAAAGGCAGGTTGATCTCAGACTCAACTGAAACTAGCTTAGGGAATCCTCAAAGAGAAGTTTCCCAAGTAAGTGTTCAGCCCATGGCCACCACACAAGGAAGCAAGAAGCATCCGACCCATCTTTAACACTAAGTTCCCTTACCTTTGCCTCTGCTAGAACCTCTGGAGTTACACAGTTGGGATAAACTCACTCAGAGAGGGCAAAGCCTTGTGGGGAAGACAGGTAGATGCACAGAATTCAACCACAACTGGGTGTTCAGAACAAGCAGCTCCTGTTGTCTATCTCAGCCCTAAAAGACAATCAGCCCCTCCTACCCGGCTGGGCTTCAGGTGTCACTTCTCAAGTTAAGGGACACATGGGTCTCCCCAAAGCTACCAAAACTCTGAGTTGAGTTTGACTCTTCCCTGAATTCCTCCCAGTTCTCTCTCCAGTGAAGTCTCTCTCCTAGGCTCTCTCCAAATTCCTGCACATCTTTTTACCAAGACCAATTCTTTCTTCTCCATTTCTCAGTATTCTCTTTCTTTAAAAACAAATCCTCTATCTAGGGTGACCAGACACACGCTAATTGGGATATTAGCATTTCTAAGGCCCACTTCAACTTTTAAAAGGGAGGTATTTCTTCACTACCCGGCTGAGGGACCCTCTTATTTGTTAGTTTAATCAGACCATGAAGAACATGGCAGGCCATTCCAGGACTGAAAGCTCGGTGCTAGCTGTGTTCCTAGGGCAAGGAACAAGGCCTTTGTTTTCAGGATCTTAATTCACTGGAAGAGGTACCTGATGGAAACAGTCTTTGCCGAGACAGCTAAAGCAAACCTTTTCTCCTGCCAAGGGCTGTGTGGATATTTAGATCATCTGCAGGCCACTCACAACCATCAGCTTCATTAGGTCGGAGCCCTAGGTAAGTGCGAGATCTATGGAGGGAGCCGAAACAGCTCCTGACCCAGAGCCCTACTCACCGAACAGGGGTTAGGACACGGTTAATACTGTGCGTGTATTCTGCCCGCACACTCTTCGACGGGTGCACACGCCGAGATTCACTCTACAGAGATTCTTACAAGACGACAAAATAAAAAGAGCACTCACGAAGTGTCGATGCCGAAGGTCTCCGCCGTGAACCATTTCGTACAGATGCCACACTGCAGCTCCACTTCCCCCAGCTGCCGGCAGTTCTCGTCCACCGAGCCCGCCTGCACGTCCATCACCTCCGACGTGTCCCCGGCGCCGTCCTGTGCCCACAGAGCAAGCCGAGAACCAAAGTGGCGCACTTGGCTGTGCTGCTGCTGCCGCCTCCCTTAACATTCTTAAAGACAAATCCTACTCTGCCGGCAGACATCCAAAAGAGAAATACTTACTAGTGTATCCTTCCCATTCGCGGATTCCGTCTCTAAACCGCCGCTTATATCCGCCAAGCTGGCATCCCTGGGACAACGAAGACACACAAGCAAGGCTTTTCAGGGCAGACAGACCTCATACAAAACAACCAATGCACGGAGCGCCGCCTCAGCTTTTTCTGCCGGGCCACGGTCTGGGCACCATGGACCGGGTGGGTGTCCAAGGAGACCGCGAGCCCGCGGCAGCGGGGACGCCTCCGGGCCCCGGCGCTCAGGTCTAGCGCCGGACCTGGAAGAGGTGCACAGGACGCAGCGCCCCGGTGCTCAGAGGGGCCGCTCCTTCTCCCAGGGTGGCGCCCGAGACTCCTGCTACCGAGAGCGACGTGCAAGCCTCCTCCCGGGGCGCCAGTACCTTGGCCCTCGCGCGGCCTCGGACGCGGTCGGAGGAGGCAGGACGAGCCGGGCCGTTGGCCGCAGGCCTAGGTTCGGTTCGGAGGGGTGGGCGGGAGCGAGCCCGGGAGCCGCGGGATTCTAAGGGGGGCGGGCCTCCCCTCGCGCGTCCTCCCCGGGGCCGCGGGACGCCTTACCCACTCTCAGCTTCTCCCGAGCTGGGCTCCGCCGCGGGGGCAGCAGACGTCCCCTCTCCAGCCGGGGCGGCTGCTACTGGTGCCGCCGGCTTCGTCTCTCCGTCTTCTGCAGCTACTGCATTTGCAGCCGCTCCCGGGCCGGGCCCGGCACCTGCTCCGGGGCTGGGTCCAGTTCCCGCCGCCGCCATGCCTGCCGCCTTCCGGACTTCTCGCGAGAACACACCCTCCGTCTCGCGCAAGTTGCGGCCTGGCGCCGTAGTCTTCAAACGGCCAAGGCCCGGGGTGGGGCCTCCGCCTGTCTGAGGAGTACGCGCTCGGGGCCCGCCCGCTTTAAGGCCGGGAGGGCGGGGCTGCGGTGACCGCCGGTGGCGCCCGGTGAGGGCGGAGCGGGCTTGACTGTCAGTTACTTCTCCGCGTCGGGAACGGACGCTGCGCGTTTCTGTGGCTGAGAGTGGCAGTCACGGCGCGGACGAAGGGCCGTGGCCGCGCTCCCCGGCCCCCGACATGTGGGGAACGTCTTCCAGAGAGACCGGTGCTCGCTGCGCCCCTGTTTGGTCGGCTGCCGGCGAGCGCGTTTACAAGGTCCGCAGAGGTGAACGCACGCCGCGCAAGTGAGGACGGGCGGGGGCGTGGCCAAGAAAAAGCCGGGGAGGGGGAGGAGGGGGAAGGAGGAAGGAGGAGGGGGAGGAAGGAAAGGATGAGGAAGGGGAGGGGTTGGGGGGAGAGTTGGAGGAGGGGTGGGAGGGGGCGAGGGGGAGGGGGAAGAAGGGGGAGGAGGAGCAAGAGGAGGAAGGAGGAAGGAGGAGGAGGGGTGGGAGGGAGAGGGAGGGGAAGCTTGGGATAGGGATGCCAAGGGCCAGGGCTGACAGCGAGCGCAGGTGCACAGTAGCTGGTCGCTGCGTAGCTACGGGCTCAGGACTCCGGAACCCACACCCGTGGGACCGCTGGGCCAGGACGGGTCCCCCGGAGATCGAGCCCGTTTCCTGAAGAGTGGCCCACAGATGCACCCACAGGTCTGCTGCAGCCCGCGTCCGAGGTCACTTGGAATGTGAGTCTCCAGGGCTGCAGACACAACCCTTCGAAAGGCCCGGCTATTTTGATCCCCTTCCCTCCCCTCCCCTCCCCTCCCCTCCCCTCCCCTCCGCTCCTGTTTGAAAGGCTGGGTGAGAGAGAGGGGAGTCGATGCATCTTCTCTCCGCTGGGTCACTCCCCAGCCGCCCCGGTCCCGGGTCCTTTGACAGACTTAAAGGAAAGCTCAGTGAGTTACCAGCTGGTGATTTGAAAGCCTGGTAGTGATGAATGTTGATCCCTGAAGAAGAGACAGGATGCTTGCACAGGCCAGCTCCCCCACAGTATTAACTGCAGTGGTGGTTTCAACTTGCTCATCAGGGAGTCTGGGCTACACTTACTGGTTTGCTTCTGGTAAACAAGGTTTTGTAGCAGGTCGTGGACTAGGACTGGGCCCCTGCAACAGGACCCGGCCGATTAGCAGGTTGCCGGATTCCCTCTAGCTCTGACCAATTAAGTAGTTAAATCATAACCGATTGGGCCGGCGCTGTGGCACACTGGGTTAAAGCCCTGGCCTGAAGCGCCGGCATCCCATATGGACGCCGGTTTGAGTCCTGGCTGCTCCTCTTCTGATCCAGCTCTCTGCTATGGCCTAGGCTAAAATAGCCCAGTTCTTGGGCCCTTGCACCTGCGTGGGAGTCTCAGAAGATGCTCCTGGCTCCTGGCTTCAGATCGGCACAGCTCTGGCCATTGCGGCCATCTGGAGAGTGAACCAGCGGATGTAAGACCTCTCTCTCTCTCTCTGTCTCTACCTCTCTCTCTGTCTTTCAAATAAATAAATCTTCTAAAAAAATTATAATCGATTGATTGACTAGGCTGAAGCCAGCTAAGGTGTTTTTTATGCCTCACTTCCATCTTGAATGAGGGCTGTCATCACATTGTGGGTTGGAGGTCTCAGAACCAGCTCTCGTTCTGCACATAAAGTCTGTAAACTCTGTGTGACATAATTCCCTGAAGAATTTCACTTTCTAACTTGTGTATTCAAGAGGCTCTGGCAAAGATCTTCCCATCCTGTTGGAAGCCACCGCTCGCCTGGCTCCTAGCTTCCTTCTGCTTTCCTACCTGCTGGACTGCCCGCCTGCTCCGCCTCATGTCCATATCCGTTACATCAGAGCCCACATAAAGTCACTGTCTCTCCTGCAAAAGCTTTTGCTTCACGCAGTTTTCGTGCCGGCACGTGGGATCCGGCGGTCCTCAGTTACAAACTAAAATGGCTTCTTGTGGACCCACAGGGCCCACAATCCCATTTGGCCATTCAGGGAGTGGACTGTGGGGGTTGATCTCTTTCTCTTCCTCTCTTTTATGCTGCCTTTCAAATCAATCTTTTTAAAGACTTATTTATTTGAAAGGTAGAGTTAGATACAGAGAGGTCTTCCATCCGCTGTTTCACTCCCACAGATGGCTGCAATGGCCAGAGCTGGGTCACGCTGAAGCCAGGAACCAGGAGCTTCATCTGGGTCTCTATGTGGGTGCAGGGTCCCGAGCACGCAGGCCATCTTCTGCTGCCAGGCAGGCACCTTAGCAGGGAGCCAGGTCAGACGTGGAGCAGCCAGGACTCCGAATCAGAGCCCATCTGGGATCTGGTATCTCAGATAGAGCTTAATCTGCTGCACCACGACATCGACCCTAATAAAGTAAATCTTCTAAAAAACATGTTCGAAAGCAAACCAATGCCCCACTCCGTGGTCAGTTTGTTTTTTGCCTATCTACATATTTTTTTAAAGATTTAGTTATTTATTTGAAAGGCAGATTTACAGAGATGCAAAAGAGAGAGAGAGAGAGAAGCCTTCTAGGGCCAGTGCTGTGGTGCAGTGGGTTAATGCCCTGGCCTGAAGCGCCGGCATCCCATATGGGCGCAGGTTCAAGACCTGGCTGCTCCACTTCCGATCCAGTCTCTGCTATGGCCTGGGAAAGCAGTGGAAGGTGGCCCAAACCCTTGGGCCCCTGCACCCACGTGGGAGACCCAGAAGAAGCTCTTGGCTCCTGGGTTTGGATTGGCACAGCTCTGGTCATTGCGGCCATCTGGGGAGTGAACCATAGGATGAAAGGCCACTCTCTCTCTTTCTCTCTGCCTCTCATCTCTTTGTGTAACTCTGACTTTCAAATAAATAAAAATAAATATTTAAATAAAAACCATCACTCTCATTTAAAAAAAGAAAGAGGAGCCTTCCATCTGCTGATTCACTCCCCAAATGGCTGCAACAGCAAGAGTTGCACCGATCTGAAGCCAGGATCCAGGAGGCCCTTCTGGGTTCCCACACGGGTGCAGGGGCCCAAGGAGCTGGGCCATCTTCTACTGCTTTCCCAGGCCATAGCAGAGCTGGATTGGAAGAGGAGCATCCAGGACTCGAACTGGTGCCCATATGGGATGCTGGCACTTCAGGCAGCCGCTTTACCCACTACACCACAGCACTGTCCTGCCTCTATTTCTTTTCTTGAGCTATCTTCTCTGCCTTGAACAACAAATTTTTTTTTTTTTTTAAAAGAAGGCAAAACAGTATTATAGCTGCTGTCTCATCCCATAGGATTTAATTATTTTGGATGAAGTTAATAAATGTAAAAAACAATTTTTTTTAGCTGATGGATGTACTTGAGAAGAATAAAAGGAGCATTAAAAACACCCCCGCAGCAGGTGTTTAGGCCAGCATGGTCCCACCCTGGAGTGCTGGCCAGCTGACAAGTTGGGATCAGCAACGCTGTCGTGCTGATCCTGTGCCTCTGCCTGGGAGAGCTCATCCTCAACCTCGGAGGACAGGAAGGAAGCTGCCGCGCTCCAGGTGAAGAATCAAGATCTAGAGTGCACAGGAGGCAGAAGAGTTGTGGGTCGAAGGCCCTGGTGGAGATGAATGGGACATCCTGTTAACAGTCACTCCTGATTGAATGGCATTGCCAGCTGGCTCTCAGCCATAGCAGAGTGGTGACGCCATGCGGTTCCTCTGGGGTTTGAGGTCCCCCAGCCTCGGGCTGGAGGAGTGGAGGTGCCAGAGCACACGCTGCAAGGTGCTCCCACAGAAAACTCTCCCCCGCCAGGGGATGCGATGGCCCCTCCCACTGCCGAAGGTTGATCTGCTTCAGCTGTCATCTTGGAGAAAAGGGGGAAGAAGTCGTGCTGCGTCCACCCCCCCCAGTCAGATTAGTGTAATCGGTGAGTGAATCCAGAGTGTGGCAAAGTTCATCAGGCCTGAAGGGCATTTGATTAAGGAGCTGACCTTGGGGGTCACCTTTTTTTTTTTTTTTGACAGGCAGAGTGGACAGTGAGAGAGAGAGACAGAGAGAAAGGTCTTCCTTCCGTTGGTTCACCCCCAAAATGGCTGCTATGGCCAGCGCACTGTGCCGATTCAAAGCCAGGTGCTTCTTCTGGTCTCCCATGCGGGTGCAGGGCCCAAGCACTTGGGCCATCCTCCACTGCCTTCCCAGGCCACAGCAGAGAACTGGACTGGAAGGGGAGCAAACAGGACAGAATCCAGAGCCCCGACTGGGACTAGAACCTGGGGTGCCCACGCCACAGGCGGAGGGTTAGCCAGGTGAGCCGCGGCGCCGGCCAGGGATCACCTTTGTGATGCTGTGGGTAAAGAAAGCCACTAACAGCGCACATGTGGGCACCTGTTCATGCCGCAGTTGCTCCACTTCCCATCTAGCTCCCTGCTAAGGGCCTAGGAAAAGCAGTGGAAGGTGGCCAGAGTGTTTGGGCTCCTGCCACCCACATGGGAGACCCGGATGGAGCTCCTGGCTCCTGGCTTTGGGCTGGCTCAGCCCTGGCTGCTACGGACATCTGGGCGAGTGAGCCAGCAGATGGAAGATCTGTCTCTCATCTCCTTCTGTAACTCTTACAAATAAATAAATCCTAAAAAAAATAAAAAAATAAAGTTAACCATATACTTTTTCCAAATCACCAAGAATAAATTTCAAATGTTCTCACTGGGGGTTGGTGCTGTGGTGTAGCAGGTAAAACTGCAACCTACAGTGTCAGCATCCCATATGGGCGCCGGTTTGAGTCCCAGCTGCCCCATTTCCGATCCAGCTCTCTGCTATGGCCTGGGAAAGCAGTAGAAGATGGCCCAAGTCTTTGGCCCCTGCACCCACGTGGGTGACCGGGAAGAAGCACCCGGCTCCTGGCTTTGGATCGGCGCAGCTCTGGCTGTTGCAGCCATCTGGGGAGTGAATCAGCAGATGGAAGACCTCTCTCTCTGCCTCTCTGTAACTCTGCCTTTCAAATAAAATAAATAAATCTAAAAAAAAATTCTTCTCTCTGTCTCTCTCTCTGTCTACTCTGCCTGTCAAAAAAAAAAAGTTCTTAATTGCAAAAAAAAAAAATCAGCATTTGAAGTGATACGTTAATTGGGTTGATTTAATCAGTTTCTATTGTATGCATAGAACATCACTATACTGTATAAACATATACAATTGTACTTTGACAGTTTACAATAAAAAATTACACAGATTGTTACAGTGTTTGGGTGTCAGGGCCACTGTGGACACTGGAGCTTCCTCTCGTGCCGTACATGCCGTTGTTGGAGTGAAGAGGCCTGGCTCAGGGTCTGGAAGGTCTCAGAAGCTGCAGCGGGCCCAGGACCTGGGGACCACCTGAGCGGCTGCCATATCCATGTCCTTGATGCAATCAGAACCTCCCCTCCAGCGGCCAAGGAAGAAGTTTCCAACAGCTCCCTGCGCTGATGCCCTTTGCATTCTCATGTTAGGGAGGAGCGAGCAGGAAAAGGGTCCAATGCAACCGTGGAATCTTGTTTTAGAAAAAACCCAGCAAGGAGCCGGCGCCGCAGCTCACTAGGCTAATCCTCCGCCTAGCGGCACTGGCACACCGGGTTCTAGTCCAGGTCGGGGCGCCGGATTCTGTCCCGGTTGCCCCTCTTCCAGGCCAGCTCTCTGCTGTGGCCCGGGAGTGCAGTGGAGGATGGCCCAAGTGCTTGGGCCCTGCACCCCATGGGAGACCAGGAGAAGCACCTGGCTCCTGGCTCCTGCCTTCAGATAGGTGTGGTGCCCCTGCCTGCTCTCTCACTGTCCACTCTGCCTGTAAAAAAAAAAAAAAAAAAAAACCAGCAAGGATAAAGTTTGCTCCCAGCGGGAGTCCTTTGGTGGGCACAATCAACTGGCTACTGCTGGCCTGAGAGGCAGGTTGGTGGTCAGAGGGCAGCACAGCCGCGTGTGTGTGTCCGTGTCCCCGAAGGAAGCAAGGTCTCCTTTAGTATCCCTCACAGAGGACGAGGGTCCACCTGCATAACCCCTGGCGACGTGTGCTGAGGACTGGAATACCTGGGACATTTTTGCTTTTCTACACCTAACAGATGGGGCATTTCATTTCTAGAGGCAGGCTTCCGTCCTTGCTGTGACCAACATTGCCAGCAGGGGGCAGCCCTAAACTGAATGTTGCAAGGGAATATCTGGAACAGGTAAGGATGCCTCAAACGTTCCCCCTTCAAAAAGTAGCTTCCTGCGCGTGCCCTCTGAACTGGAGCTGGGGGCACGAGGACTTTGTTGTCACTGCGCTGTGGCCTCTGGGCCCCGTCTCCCCCATTTTTCCTACCCTCAAGGAGGGTGTGAAACTCAAGAAAACCTAACCTTTAATGTCTCACTTTTCCCACCAAGCTGAAGGAAGTGTTCCTTACATGCTGCCCATGAGAAAGAGGCTTTGTTCTGATTCCTCCAGAAACAGGTGTCCACCGCCTGTGCCACAGCAGGGGTCTCTCGTCCTCAGCTAACGGGGGCAGGGTTGGCCTCTGCACCTTATTTTAAGCCATTTCTGAGTTCCACAGTGAAAGGTGAGTTTACAAAGCAGGAAGCACATGTAGCATCAGTCTCTCTTTTTTTAAAGATTTATTTATTTGAGAGGCAGAGTTACAGAGAGAGGGAGAGACAGAAAGGTCTTCCATCCACTGGTTCACTCCTCAAATGGCTGCAACAGCTGGAGCTGTGCCATGCCCAAAGCCAGGAGCCTTCTCCCAGTCTCCTGCATGCATGCGTGCAGGGGCCCAAGCACTTGGGCCATCTTCTGCTCCTTTCCCAGATGCATCAGCAGGGAACCTGATCAGAAGTGGAGCAGTCTGGTCTTGAACTGGCGCCCATATGGGATGCCAGCATCGCAGACAGTAGCTGGACCCACTATGCCACAACGCTGGCCCTGGCATCAGTCTTTCAAGGTGCCCCAGGTGTGTCAGCTCCTTGAAGGCATAACTCTGCCACTGTCCCATCTCTAGTGCTTAGCACAGAGAGGTGTGTGCTTGGCTTACAGTAGGCACTCAGAAAGCCTTGAATAAATACCGTTAACCTGTCTTCCCTCCCCAACTCCAACTCGCTAACTGAGCAACCCACACGACAGCCGAATGACTTCCTGGCTCTAGGTCCCTCCTCTAATTGACTTGTCCGACCTTGGGTGTCACTGCCTTGTTCCGATTCCTCCGGCCAACATCCTAGTTGCCCAGAGCTCAGAGTCTCACTAGCCCAGCCCACAGTTCCACCCACCTCGTGGTATCAAGAACACGAGCCCTGGAACCAGACAGAATTGGAATCCTGATTGGCACTTGCCAGACGTGACAATAAAATACCCACCTCTGCAGTCCTCAGATCACAGGGAAGGCTGCAGGGAGCCTCCGCTATGCAGATACTCCACTAGTGTTCTCTTTGGGGTCCAACAATCCCATGCATCCAAACTTACCACGTGGGGCTAGCCTTGTGGTGGAGAGGGTTAAGCTGCTGCTTGTGATGCTGGCATCCCATGGCACAGTTCCGGTTGAAGTCCTGGCTACTCTGCTTCTGATCTAGTTTCCTGCTTATGTGTCCGGGAAGGTGGTGGGAGATGGTCCAAGTACTTAGATCCCCATCACCCATGTGGGAGACCAGTTTGGAGTTGCTGGCTCCTTCCTGGATTTGGCCTTGCTCAGACCTGGCTGATGGAAGCTACCTCTCTCTCCTTCCCATTCTGTCACATAAATCCTTAAATTAAAACAAAAGCAGGGGCCGGCACTGTGGCGTAGCAGGTAAAGCCGCCGCCTGCAGTGCCGGCATCCCATAAGGGCACCAGTTCAAGTCCTAGCTGTTCCACTTCCGATCCAGCTCTCTGCTATGGCCTGGGAAAGCAGAAGATGGCCCAAGTCCTTGGGCCCCTGCACCCACATGTGAGACCAGGAAGAAACACCTGGCTCCTGGCTTTGGATTGGCACAGCTCCAGCTGTTGTGGCCATCTGGGGAGTGAACCATTGGATGGAAGACCTCTCTCTCACTGCCTTGCCTTCTCTCTTTGTGTAACTCTGACTTTCAAGTAAATAAATAAATCAAAAAAAAAAAAAAAATCAAGGCCTGTGCCGTGGCTCACTAGGCTAATCCTCCGCCTGCAGTGCCGGCACCCCGGGTTCTAGTCCCAGTTGGGGCGCTGGCTTTGTCCCGGTTGCTCCTCTTCCAGTCCAGCTCTCTGCTGTGGCCCGGGAAGGCAGTGGAGGATGGCCCAAGTGCTTGGGCCCTGCACCCGCATGGGAGACCAGCAGGAAGCACCTGGCTCCTGGCTTTGTGATTGGAGCAGTGCGCTGGCCATTTGTGGGGTGAACCAACAGAAGGAAGACCTTTCTCTCTGTCTCTGTCTCTCTCACTGTCTAACTCTGCCTGTCCAAAAAAAAAAAAAAAAGCTCCCCATGTGGTAGCTGACATACACCTGTTATCCAATAGTGGCCCTGTTCCCCTACACTGGATTCCTTCGATACCACACCCTTGTCATGCATTTCCTCTCGAGCCTACACACACACCCTTCCCAGGGTCTCCGTCACACTCACCAGTCCATTTATTTGCACCTCATGGTGCTCCCTTGGATTATTTAGCTTTGTCTCTCATGTTACCGCAAGGTCTGCCAGCGTGCTGGGTGTGAATGACGCTTGGCAAGTGCTCATTCAGCGGGGCTGGGTTTAGCAGGAAGGATCACTTGCTAAGTCTACAGATGAATCCCGCCTTCCTGGAAGTACCTGCTTTTCAGGCGGCTGGCCACATGGCCTTGCGCCTTTCCTGCAGTCACTTCGGGGAATGTGGCGCCGAAGAGCACCAAGACAGAGATGGCCTCGGTCGTGCCCACAGTCTGGCTGCCTGGGAGCTGGAGGGACGCCACAGCAGCCTGGAGGCTGGAAAACCTGGCAGCCCAGCCCCCCCCTCCCCCCACTCTACTGCGCTGGGAACATTCACCAAGCTTTCACTGTGGCCACCTTGCCATTCACAACGCCTGATCCCTACACCGGCACCTCTCTCTCCCAAACCTGGCGCTCAGGACAGTGATCTGCACCCCAGCAGTCTCCTCTCCCCAGCCAGAGGGCTTATTTTTTATTTTTTTTTAAGATTTGAGAGGCAGAGTTACAGAGAGGGGGGAGATGGAGAAAAAGGTCTTCCATCTGCTGGTTCACTCCCCAAATGGCCGCAACAGCTGGAGCTAGGCTGATAGGAAGCCAGAAGCTTGTTCTGGGTCTCCCATACAGGTGCAGGGGCCCAAGGACTTGGACCACCTTCCACTGTTTTCCCAGGCCATCAGCAGGGAGCTGGATCCAAAGTGGAGTAGCTCGGACTCAAACAGGTGCCCACATGGGAGGCTGGCACCACAGGCGAATGCTGCACCTACTACACCACAGCACTGGCCCCCGTTTCTGTTTATTTATTTATTTTTTTAAGGATATATTTGTTTGAAAGGCAGAGTTAGAGACAGAGTGATCTTCTGCCTACTGATTTACTCCCCAGATAGCTGCAAGGATTTTCACTTCCTTGAGGACAAAGACTCAGTACAGCCAGCACCCAGCCAGAAATGATGCTCAAAACAAAAACACAAACACCTTTGGTTGAGGTTGCAATTTGCCTTTGCGGTTAAGAAGCCCGCGTCTCCAG